TGGGCAAGACCCTGCTGGTCCGCAAAGTGGTGGGGGAAGTGGGAGCCAGCCTGGTTGTGGTCAGAGGGCCAGAGGTAACATATACTATCAATGACATTCTACCACATGCTCTGTGTTTACATTAAGTTATTGTGTTCAATTCTTTAAAGCTCTAATTGTTGTTACCTGCAGCACAATTCAGACCTGTGACTCTGCGTGTGTTTTGACTTTTCAGCCATTAAATATAAAGGAAATATTTTAGAAAAGTCTTCAATAAAAAAAATCTAAAAACTAATGAAAATGCCGATATCTTCTTATGGAAAAAATAATGCCAACCCACCTCTCCAGTTATACATCTCCTTGACAGAAATCATCCACAACATTTTAAACTATTATAGTAAAGAATGTTGTTCTAAAAATACTTAATTCTCAAGCAAAAAAGGCCAAATTACAAAGCAGCGTTCTTTCAAATTAAATATTTTTGAATGATATGTAACAAGGAATTGTTCCTGTCGATGTTATTGTACATTTTAGATAATAGATTGTGATAATACTTTTAACCAATAAAGATTCAAATTATCCAAATTGAGATTACACTTCAAAATAAACTCACTTACCTATATATATTTTGTAAAGCATTGTGAATGTGTTGCATTAATACATATTGTTCTTCTTCTAATGTGTTTATCTAATAATGATTGCAGGTGGTGGGATCGCGTCCGGGGGAGAGTGAGGAGAAGTTGCGAGCTGTGTTTGAGCGGGCTCGATCAGCAGCTGAAGAGGGTCCGTGTGTGCTGTTCCTGGATGAGTTGGACTCTCTGTGTCCGAAGAGGACCGGCTCGTCAGCTCCGGAGAACCGGCTGGTGGCTCAGCTCCTCACACTGATGGACGGGATGAACCAATCGGATCGCTTCCTCATCATCGGAGCCACTAACCGCCCGGACAGCTTGGACCCGGCCCTGCGCAGGCCTGGAAGATTTGACAGAGAGGTGCAGATGATAATATGCTCAACCTGATACAGCATTATAAATGTAAATTGAGGTTCTAAATGTGTACATCTTTCATCCAGGTCATCATTGGAGCTCCCACCCTGCAGCAGAGAGAGGCCATCTTGTCCGTTCTGAGTGCGAGGATGCCCGTGAGTCCCAGTGTGGACATGGCAGAGCTCGCTCAGAGAACTACAGGCTACGTCGGAGCGGACCTCAGCGCCCTGTGCAGAGAGGCTGCCATGCATGCTATACGAGAAAACTCAAAGGTACTTTATAATTTTATTTGTATTTAGTCAGGCATCATTGATATTCAAATTGTGTAAGTAGGGCCTGAGATAAAAAAAAAAACAGAAACAACATAACTCCTTGTTTGCAGTTAATTCCATTTAAAAGATGCATGCATTAGTGCGGTGTTTCTCAAACTTTTTCATACCAAGGACCACTTAACCAATAAAAAAACACTCGTGGACCACCTAACTCCACAAATATCCAAAATTACATCGTTTTTCTAGAACAGATCACAAATCGCCTGAAAATGGTACAAACAAGTGGCAACATGTGTGATGAAGGTGTTGCGCTGGGCTATATCATGCAATCGAAAGTGAAACTTAATCTCGCTCCATTGCGGAGATATTCCCGCGAGAGTGCGGAAAACCTAAATGTATTTATTTATTTCAAATGTGAAATGTTACCAATATACTCACGGACCACACTTTGAGAAGCACTGCATTAGTGTATACATTTGGGATATCTAAAGTTAAGGAGTTTCTGTATAGTAGACTTTGTTTGCTATATTTTATTGAAAGAAGAGATTTGAGGTAGTTTGGAAGCTTCAACAGTAGCGCTTAATAGATGAATAACTATGATGGCTTTTCCTTATTAGGCCCATAACATTGTTTGATACAGAGAATAATCACGCAGCATTGTTTTACAGTATGCCTGAAATGTGTCTTGAATGACTTGTAATCATATTTAGTTGTTTCACTCGTTTTATTTTATATATAAGGCTGAACAGGAAACAATATTTTAGGCCCACTACAGTGCAAATTGATAATAAAGTTGACTTTCACTTTGACTGAAATATGGTAATAGTACTTTATAAACCTTAAAATGCTTTTGCACAGTCATCCTATATGTACCCAGGACTCTTTTGACAGAAGAACATCTCCATACCGCTCAATCTGTACAGAATTTGGTCAAACCGCGTTCTCCTTCTCTCGCGCCAAATGAGTTTACCTAAATTAAAAGTCTAGTAGAATTGATAATGATACAGATTATCATGGTAAATAATATATATTGCATTTAAAAATGCTTTAAACCCTCTATTGCGTAAAAGACATGAATGACCTTTCTGAATTGTTTTGCTTTGTTAATATTGTCTGTAGAGTTCAGGAGAGCAGGTGGTGGGGATGCAGCACTTCCAGGAGGCCCTGAAGGCGGTGGGGCCCTCCTGCCTGCGGGGCAGCCTTGGCAGGACGGAGCTGTGTCCGCTGTCCTGGGATCAGATAGGAGGCCTGGATGAGGTCAAACTCAAACTAAAACAGGTAAATAAACGCCTGATTTCTTTCAACGCAAAACACAAAGCATTTGTTGACTGGTAAAGGAAAATATCTGTCATTGTAATTCTCTCCCTCTCTACTCTCTCGTGTCTGAACATCAAAGAGTATTGAGTGGCCGATGTTATACCCAGAGGCGTTTGTTCGCCTGGGTCTGTGTCGGCCCCGCGGCGTTCTGCTCTATGGACCTCCAGGCTGTGCGAAGACCACGCTGGTGAAGGCTGCAGCGGGCTCCACTCACTGTGCCTTCTTGTCAGTCGGTGGTGCTGACCTCTACTCTCCGTATGTGGGAGACTCAGAGAAGGCTTTGGCGCAGGTACTTTCTTTTTCCAGTCTGTAAATCCCCAGCTGTTTTTGTATCCTCATGATTCACCCCTTAACCTGGCTGCCCACACACAGCTGTTCCGCCAGGCCCGGGCCTGTGCGCCCTGTATCCTGTTCCTTGATGAGATCGACTCTCTGATTGGCTCACGGTCCAACAATCAGACACCGAACAGCGTACAGACCCGCCTCCTGTCCGTGCTCCTCAATGAGATGGATGGGATTGGGCTGAAGACGCTGGAGAGGAGAGGGACGGAGAAGATCCTCCAGGCGGAGGGGGCGGAGGAGAATAGCACGCAGAAACAGGTCCGATATCATCAAGGCTTTTACTCCTCCTTCTGTTGCTCAAATACACAACATTTAATTTTCTGACACAAGAGGTCTTTCAATAAAAAAGAATAAAAAATTGAGTTTGAAGTCATCAATTGCTGTCAGGTTCTCCCAGTTAGGATTCGTTCATTGTTCATAGCTCAGTTTAATATTTCACGCTGTTTGCTTACATTTGCTCAGCTTGTATCTTTCATAACTTCAGGTCGACCCCTCCAATGATTAAAATCCATCTGTTTCAAATATATAGTCCGTACGACCGAATGTGTCTCACTAAAATGCTTCAAAGGGGATACAGGACAATTACAGGTAATTAAACAGACCGTTGAGTTCATTAAAATTACCAATTTCTCTAGATTTGAAACTTGTTGAAAACATTTTATATAATGTATTATACAAAATATAGTTCTGGTTGTTTTTACACATGTAAAAGCAGAAATGTTACATATTTATAATATTCAGTATGAGGTGATTTAGTAAACACTTGATCCTAAAAGCTGTTTTTGCTCTTTGACAGTTGGAGTGCCAGGAAGTGTGCAACAAAGAGGTGATGGTTGTCGCGGCGACAAACAGACCTGACTGCTTAGACAGCGCCCTCCTCAGACCTGGCAGGCTGACCCAGGACCAGGCACCAGATGATGCACCCCTACGCACAAATAATCTTGACTGGTAGGTCCCTAAGCATAGCTCACGCATCTTAAGATCACCTGTAGCCTTTACAAATATTAATCATTGTTACCAGTTAAGCCCGAAGGTCCCCCCAGTGGACCCCTCCCACAGTTTTTTTTCTCTCACATGTCTCAGGGCTTCTTAACATTTATGAAACTATTAATGTTTCATACCCTTTTAAAGGTAAGAAACTCCGCTAACTGACAATAAGAACAATTGTAGCTAGAAAAAACACAAGCGTAATACCAAGCCTTTGAATTAGCATTGAGCGAAACAATGCTAACTAATGCTAACGCTTTTTTACACACAACACACGGTAGAAATGCCCTTATTACTATCTTAACTGCACAAACAAGATATACGATTTAAAGCTGAGACTCCACAGATTCCACACATGTAATGTCATCACTGTAAGACCTCGAATTCCTGGAGCTATCAGCCAGAAAAGATAATCTTTAACTAAACTCAACATTGTCTGCCTCCAGGCTCGTCTGTGCATCCTGAGGGTGTGCACACAGTCGATGCCTGTGTGTGCTGACGTGTGTTTGGAGGAGCTGGCTGCAAAGACAGAGCTTTACTCTGGAGCTGACTTGGAAAATCTATGTAAAGAGGTAATGTGGACAACTTTATTATTCTAAAATACAAAATGTAATCATGGTCCAAAGTGTTAACACGGATAAACCGATAGAGGAAGAATGCCTGAAAACTGTTGTTGTTTTCCCAGGCTGCTCTGTTGGCGCTACAAGAGGAGAACATGGAGGCTTCTACCATCAAACACACATACTTCCTGCGGTCCCTCGGCCACATGAGGCCCTCTCTCACTGCACAGCAGATTCAGTCATATCAAAAACATCCCAGATGACAAACCACTATTTCCTCTGCATTGATACAAAGCATTATTAAAGAGATGGATATACATTTGCAATAAAATAAGTCAAACTTGACCTTTGGGAGTCCTCTATTGTTTGTGTGTTATTTATTTACCGACAGGCACTCAAAATGCAAACATATTTGAAATCTGCACAAAAAGATACCCACTAGCCATTGACTTTCAGTTCTCAAATGTGGCCACTAGGGGGTACTGCTCCCTCATAATATATTGATCATCAGTAAATTCAATACGTTGAGGGATTGGACTCCACTTGTGCATTTCAGAGCAGGAAGCTGTCTGTCTACGTGCCTTTCACCTCGTACAACCTCTCATCCAGCCTCCATCAGCCGGGCTCACAGGATGCTGCGCTAAAGACATCAGAGACTTCTCAGCAACAACAGGTGAGACCTTCCACACAGTTGCCTCTTCAACATATACACTTTAGTTTACTGAATTGACTTTAAGCTTAATTTTAAAGTGGAAATATTATACAATTTCTTTTTAGGTATTTGAGAAATCAGAAAAAATGGTTGGATTTTTCCAAATGTTGAGAAAGAAAAAGGAGGTGAGATGGTCTTTACTATCTTAAGTGATTTTGTATTGTGGGTATTGGATTTATAATATTATGGTTCAACAAAAAAATAAATGTTTTCCTGTATTTCAGCTGATCCCTCTGATAGGTTTCATGGCTTTTGCTGCAGCAGGAGCCACCTCGGCTGCTCTCTACTTTCTCTTTACTAAACCTGATGTTATGTGAGTGTCACTTTCATTTTCAGAATGATTATCCACTCTGTACCCAGGCTTTACCCAGGTTCGAATTCGGCCTGGAACCATGTACGCATGTCATCCCCTCTGTCTCCCCCTTTCAACCCTGTCATCTCCGATAAAGGCTAATCTGGCCCAACAAACCTTTAAAACATTTTTAAATATTAAGGGCTTTAAATTGCACTTAACTTTTTAATGTTTGTATTCTTAGATCACACTTAAATATCAGCGTCTGGCATATAATCAATACTTAATGATACAGCATTTCCTTCACTCTTTTTAGTCTGAATAGGACCAGAAATCCAGAACCATGGGAACGAGTGGACCCATCAAAACCCCAAAAGGTATCCCTAATATACCAGATATTAAATAGCATTTATAATGTGTATTTTATTATATTTTATATATTATTTCACAAGGTTTAAATGGTTGTAGTTAACCCTTATTTATTATTTCTGGCACGTAAGACAAGCATGATCTTCTAACTTGCATCTACAAACTGCTGAGTCACTGAGGAAGGAATATTATCAAACTAGTACCAGCCTGCTTTTGCATCAGATTAAGGTTTATGTTTTCACACATGTTGAATCACGCTGAAGCCACTAATGGGATTATTGCCGCTTTGAGCTGAGTCAGGTAAAGCCTAATTATGGTTTCTGACATTTTGCTGCAGCTCATCACCATCAATCAGCAGTGGAAACCAGTGAAGGAACTGGAGTATGTGAAGAACCTGACTAAGTAAAAGGAAAAGAGGATAAAGCATCTTCTAGAAACATCCACAGTCTGACCAGCTGCCTGCACCCCATCAGTCTAACAGAATCCTTTCTGCACAAACTAGGATACTTTGACACTCAGTGTGCGGAAATGCTTCTGCTCCACTGGTGGGGTTTCACCCGGCTCTGTGGTGACCCAGCCTGAGGACACCCATCCACAACAGTAGACACATATAACAAATACTCATACTGCCATTAAATTATAAAAAAAAGAATTTCACTTTGGGTTTCTGTGATTGCATCGAGAAGCCACATTAGCATTAAATAAGCTGTGTTGTTCAATTGCTTTCAAAGTTGATGTACTATAGTTTCTACTTGTGACCCAAATGGTAACGAATAATATAATATTGTACTAATACGTAGTGTACTGTGTATGTGCATTGTGTACGTGTTAAACTTTCTTCATCAGTGTTGCTTTTGTTGTTAAAAGCTCTATAAAAAAACATTTATACAGGATAAGCATGTCTTCAGCCTTTTCTTAACCCTTTTTAATTGAATGAAAACCCTTCATATTCTTTTCACAAGCTTCCATGTCATGTGACCTACAAATCAATGCAGCATTGTACACGTAGGATACACCTCTTTATTATACGTTTATTTGAGTATATGATGTGAACGTTGTAAAAATAAAATAAAAAAAACTTCTGCATGTTCATACAATAAATAAACTGAAGGTGGAATCAAATCAAATAAAATGTGACAAATGTGTTCAGATACAATGTTGCATTGATTTGGGGTCATTGTTTCAGATGACTTAAAAGACTCAAATGATCTTCTATTAAACTTTTTTTTTTTTTTAAATTCATGACATATCAGTAAACCTAAAGTGTTCCACATAAGACACACACACTCAGTTTGAGTCTGAAGACCCCAGTAAATGTCTGTTTTATATATAAACTAAAACTGACGTCATGCAGTCATCATTTTATTCTCAGCAAGAAAGCCGCATGTTTCCCCAAATGTTGTTCTATAAAAAGATGAACATTAAGGAGAAACACATGTGCTTGTGGCTAAGTGCTTTGATAGGCTGGGGAAGTCAAAATGAATTGAGAAATTGACGCAATGATGATTTTTAGTCTTTCCATGCAATTTGTGACATTGAGAAAGGTTAGAAACAGCTTGGTTTATTGATTGAATTTAATTGAAGGTTAATCATCAACTAACTATCATAGTGGAGTAAAACCCAAAACAGCCTGAAAGCTCTATTTCCTCCAGAAATGTCAGATCTGTTTTGTCATCGGCCGTTTACAAGGTCAACAATAACCTTTGAAATTCCGCCTTGTAAAACTTGTTTAACAGTTTTTCATTATTTAATTGCCAGACGCCGGGAGCTTTGCATGTTGTTTGCAGACGAGGAAATGGTGAGATGTTGCCTGCTAGGGCAGCTGTAAAGTAATTACTGCCATCCACACGATAGGCAAAGGCACTCATCTGATTATTGTATGGCTGCGGGGGCATTCAACCCTATCATTGTGTTTTGTAATAAGAGCCAATCCATTTCCTATCTCAGAAGAGAGCCATCCTACAGTGTCTGACTAAACTGCACTCTCTGGCTAGCAAAGCTCACTGGACTGATTTCATCAATTATTAAACTATAAACAAAGGGTGTGACCAGAGGGAGAGAGGAAAGGCATGGCCATTGTTTCTTGATCCATTTGGCGTGCCTATTTGATCAGGAAACACTTGGTATTTGGTTTCACCTACATGAATGTTTTGGTTGTGCATGAATATGTCATCGAGGGTGTTTCCCATTTTCTTACATTTACTTCCTCTTCGGTTAACGTAACATTCCCTCCCAATATGTTTTTAATATGATGTTAAAAGCTATGACTCACAGTCACATTTCATAGCTTTAGTCTATGTTAAGAAGAGGTACTGTGGAAGAGTGTTGTCTTCTCTTGTTATTGAGGACATCATCAGTGCCCTTGTTACATGTAGTCAAATAAACAGTAAGGGAAGAGAGAGAGGGGCAGCCATTAATTTCAGCTATCAAGCTATGTGCAACTGACAAGTTATTTAGGGAAACAATGACCAAAGTGGAAGGATATATTATGCTTGGCTGGAATTTGTGTACGTGACTCAATCGCAGTCATGACACCACAGACCATGTGACCAGCAGTAAAGCAGGTAGTGGCTTCCACAGAGCAAGTGAAGTAAGAGAGGCAAATCTGCTGTGTCATCTAGCGGTGCACTGCTATGATAATACTCCATTTTGACCTGCACGTTGCTTCTTAAACTGGTTCAGACACTAGTGGCTGCAGATGCTCATGAAGGCCGTTTATGGAAGGCAGGGCAGTCGGGTGGATGCTGTAAATAATTGGCTCTGCTGCAATACAAACACAAGAGTCACCTGCCTGTGGTTACCTGGAAACTGAGACACTCCTAGTTCACTTGTGTAGTCAATAACGAACATTTGATTAGTTTAGTTTTAAATAAAACGTAATTTTGCGTGCAAATCCATAAGCAGTTGATGTCTAATGCCTAATGCCTCGTATTTGTTTTGCAATTGAGTCTTAAATAGGCCAATTGACCACATTTCAGTCATTTATTTTTTACATACATTTTTATAAATTAAAAAGGCTCTATTCCTAACCAGAAGGACCTTCAATTATGCTTGCCATGTTACAAGAACTTAAAACAAGATTTCAAAGCAGTTTCATCAGGTGAAGAACAAAAACTGTGTGTGTGTGTGTGTGCGCCTAAAGTTTAGCCCTCATGCTCACTATCATTTAAGGAGTTAAATAGAGTGTAATGTGTATGCATGTTATCTTATCAAATGTCCAGAATGTCTCAATGTTGTGGGTTGATGGTAGAAGTACACCACCTAGTGTTGAAAAGTGACAGCAACATATCCTGCACACTGTGGTACGCAGTCAGCTGAATCTCAATTACCAACCTTTGATCTCTTTCCAATGTTTAAATTAAGTTTGTTTCTTAATTCAAAATTATATTTATAAGTACTTATTTGATTGAATTGGAAAACTATCAAGATTTGAGTCAAAGTATTTGTGTGGATTGTTAAAATAAGTTGATAAATTGGGCCAAAAATGCCTTTCCATTTTCTTAGATGTGTTGTTCGAAGAAAAGAGGAACTGAGAGGCAAGCAGAAGATGTAATACTTTATTAGAAACAAAGGGTGATGCAGTTCCTGACTTCCGTCGATGATTCGTTTTAGAGACTAGGAAAAGGTTTACAATAAAACCCCGACAGTCTCTCAACACTTCACACTGGAAACACTATAAATATTATCAGCAGGTTGAAAACTGAAAAATCAGAAATACTGGTTCACAAACATGTCTGCATTAGTATACTGTCAGTTTAGGGAATACAAAGAAAATGAGTTTAGGAATTGAGGCTGAAACCATAACACTGTAGCATTAACCATTTTACAAAGTCAGTCACTCTTTGATTGTCAGATGTGTGCTCGCCTAAATGTAGCTAAGAGCCATGCTAAAATATAATGTCAGTTTTGAAGTGTTGATCAGACTGCTTTGATCATTTCTAAGCTTGATAAGTTGATGTGATGTCTGCCTAAGGGACACAATGATACAAGTTGTTTTTCCAAATGAACAGAAAATGAGGTACCTTTTCATTTGCAGACATCCTCAGTAAACAAATAAAATCAAGTCCTCACACCTAGAAACAAAAAGTAAAATGTACATCTGATGCTAAAACATCAGTTGTGACAAATCAAACACTAAAATACAAAAAAGTTGAAATAGGCTTCAATGGTGAATTAAGAGCATTCCTTTTTCTGAAAGCATCCAAGCTCTCAAAGCTGTGCGAGGTCGCCGGCGGCTGAAGTGATCCAACTATTGGAAATGTGCGTCTGCTTTCCTTTGGCACCAGTCTTTTTCTGTTTGCATGTACATACCGTTTACTGTGTCTCTGCTGTCCTGTGTCTTGAAGTGCTCCGTGGCAGCCACTGTTCAGAAGAGTCTCTCTCTAGGCACTGGACTGCAGGCAGTGTGTGCAGGTACGCACAGGCCTCAGCCTGTGTGTCTGCACCTGCACCGTGCACCTGCCCAGGCCGTAGGTGTGGAGCAGCAGGTGGCGCGCCTTCGCCTGCACGTCCTCCCAGTTGCTGGCACTAGAGGGCGCTGTGAACACAAACATCAGAGTCAGAATACTTGTATTCGTCCCACAGAGGGGAAATGTACATTTGTTACAGCAAGTAAAGAGCCAAAGATAGCTTAATTATTCATTATATTATTAAGAAGAACGCATAAAAAAAAAAGTAGAAATGTCACAATTTACAAAACACACCTCCCGTACCAGTTAAAGTTTTGAGATATAGCAGCCAGGTGGAAGTATTAAAAGTTGAAGTATACAGTATATTGCACAGTTATTGATGGTATATAAATAGGCGTTATAGTCTTTGTTGTTATGTGTGTGTGTGGGGGTCCAACAGGGGATGTGGTGTTTATGCATTTTAAATTAAATTAAGCAAGTTACAGCATGTCCAAACAGATCTTGTCCAAACAGATCTTGTCCAAACAGATCTTGTCCAAACAGAACATGTCGCAACAAATAATTTCACATGTCATAGCAGGAAAACACAGGTAATTACTGCATTACCTGCACACCAGGGCCCCCACCAGTGTCAGGGCTCTGATGCAGGCCCACTGGGACTCATGTTTATGAACTGAACCATCGTTAAAGTCATATTAAAGTCATGAGTGAAACCTGTGCTATCAAAATGTATACCCACATACTAATTCAATAACTATATGACGGTTGTGTTAGTACCTTCCAGTTTCTCCCAGTTAGTTTACAAAAAGAAACCTTGATCAATTTCTACCAACAAAAAATAACACAATACTAGCGCTGAAACACGTCTCTGCCTATTAAATGTCACAAAATAAAATCCATGTTTTTTTCTTGTATTCCTGTGTTCACACAACTATTGTTTTATAAGAATGTGCAGTTGTGTCCATGCAAAGCACACTCAAAACCTATAAAGAAATCACATGTTTTGAGTATGTGCGATGTGACACTTTTCAGTGTACCTTATGTTCAAAGTCTTTCATGGACTAGAGCAGTCATTCTTATCAGACATACTCTCAATGTAAGCTCTGCCAGATTTGCTGCATGTGTTGAACTGCTCTGAAAAAGGTTAAACAGCTCTCAAGAAATAACGTCTTCTATATTGTACGTTTTCACCATGTCACTCACAAGTTTATCACCCCTTTTTTACATTTTGTGATACAACAGCTTGAATTCAAACTGGATCAAAACAAGGACAATCGGATTCAAACAAATACGGATGCAATCTGAAAGCCAAGGGAAGAACTGGCAGTTAAGTTTCTTGTGAAACAACTGTGATGAAACTGAAGTCCTGTGAGAAATAAACACAGGAACAAGTCTCAGCACATCATGCACACTTTGATCTTACTTTGACTTTAAAACAAGTACTGAAGCCAAATAGAAAAAGAATATATTTGCTCTTGCAGGTCACTGACATTGAACAGACTGCCAAAGCAACACCGAAAACAACCTAAATCAAAGTGGTCAAGCCAAAAGTAGCTCTTCGTGATCACTGACAAGCCAGCAGAAACATAAGCAGCAAGACTTCAAGATGCCTTCACTGCCGTAGTATTTCTAGTCTTGACTTGGTTGATAAAATATGTGCGTGTGTTATCTGTTCACTTTATTAGAGCTGAAAGAAGAAAGAGTATCTGCAAGTATTTTGATAGTTGATGAGTTTCTGTATTGATGCTGAAACATACATATTTAATATGTTCTGAAGCCCCTTGCATACGGACATATACCTTAAAAAAACTACAATGTAAGAAATGTTTTATGAAGCTTGTTAATAAATGAGTCATAAATCCCAAAACAACCTTTTTTGAGTAAAAACTAAAGAAGAAATGGATATAAAATACTTATGATCCACATAATAGTTCTATATATTTAGAAACGTGATCCTTTCAACCTTCTTTCTTCTTGTCTGTACTGATGTATCTACTCACCCAGCTGCAGATGCACTATAGCTGCAGTCTTGTCCGTGGTCAGCGCCCAGACGTTCAGCTCATCCACTGATTGGACGTCCTCCAGCTTCAGGAGGTCTTCTTTGATTCTCAGAGTGTCCAGATGCCTGGGAACACCTGAGGATGAAATAAACTCTTTAATGCACCTACGCCACTTTAAATACTCAACATCCTCTGAAGGCACTGCAGGACCACGGCCAGAAACGCACCCTCCAGCACGATGACTATTGTGTCTCGTATGATGCGGAACGTGGTGACGAGTACCAGGATGGAGAAGATGTAGGTACAGATGGGGTCTGCCAACTTAAAGTCCGGCTGTGAAGTCAGAGAGTTACATCAGATCGATTCAAATCAAAGTTTCATATGAATGCATGCTTCGCCATCCCTGTATTTAATATCAATTTAAATCGAAAGACCATCAATTAGTTTACAATTAGTGAATTTGTATAAAATAATTTATATATTTTCGTTTAATTAAATGCTTTTATACGTTTACAACGAACACTTGGTTTTAACAACATAATGGCTTTAAAGCTGTGTGGTTCACACTGCCTTGGGAGTTCTCTGTTAAATAGGTGTCAACACTTAATTAAACAGAAATACTTTGTTACCTTTATTTTCAAAAAGTAACAGAAATACTTTGTTGGTACAATACCATTTTTTTTAACAATGGTTCTACAAGGTAAATACATGGTCAAATGGATGGATGGATGGGTACCTTGAAGCGGACGATGTAGGCCGCTATGAGCACCCCGATGCTCTGGACCAGATCTCCCAGAGCGTGGATGAAGGCCGCTCTGACAGCCAGGCTGCCCTGCTGCCTCTGCCCCCCCGACCCCCCCGACTGTGAGGCGGCTGCAGAGCCGTGAGAGTGACCGTGGCCATGTGAGTGGCCGTGGCCGTGAGAGTGACCGTGACCACCTTGGTTTAACAAGAAACCCATTCTGTAAGACACAGAAGAAAACAAAAGAAAGAAAGAGGGCGTTTATTTTGAAGGCATTGGAGTTACAAGTATGTTGTGTTTTTAACTAAGAAACTGCTGTCAATGAGTTTAACGGCCCGTCCACACGGCGGCGCGCGTTGAAGCTTCAACGCTTCTGCCCATTCCCTTTGAATGGGGTGACGTCACGCTTTGCCGAACTGCATTGTGGTTCCGTCGCGTTGCTCGCTTCAAAAGTTGAGCAATGTTCAACTTTTGAAGCTTCGACGGAAGCGTCAGCCAATCAAATCATATGCCAGTACAAGCGTCAGCCAATCAAACCGCGTGCTTGTGTGTCCGGGGCGGGAGATTCATGTGATTGGTTGTTGGTCGAGTTTCAGACACGCCCGCCGGCAAGCTTCAACGCACGCCGCCGTGTGGACGCTGCGTAATCATTCACCTTCCAAATATGGTCAAACATTAAACACTGAGAATCATCAACTGGACAGGTGACTTTAAGGCAGGACTTTGGACCAATCTTAAAGGTCACATGTCATGGCCATTTCCACTGATCATAATTCCATTGTTGATGTCTACTAGAATAGATTTATACTGTGCAATGTTCCAAACTCACATTGTTTCGAATACAGCATCTCTGTAAACTACGTGTATTCACTCTCTCCACTAAACGGCTCGTTGCAGCTCTTGCCCCCCCCCCCCTCCCTCTGAGCCCAGTGTGCTCCGATTGGTCGGGACCAGTCGGGATGTTGTGAATCGCGCTGAGCTCCGTGGAGGTGTGATTTCCTTGTTTAGCGATACACAGCGAAACACAGCCAAACTCATCCTGAGCACACACAAAGTCACAGCCGAAGTAAAAACAATAAGTGTGGCTTGATACTGAGTAAGAAAAGGGTTGATAAACGCTGTGAGAATGGGTCTGCAGAGAGAATGGGTCTGCAGAGAGAATGGGTCTGCAGAGAGAATGGGTCTGTAGAGAGAATGGGTCTGCAGAGAGAATGGGTCTGCAGAGAGAATGGGTCTGCCTAGAGAATGGGTCTGCAGAGAGAATGGGTCTGCCTAGAGAATGGGTCTGCAGAGAGAATGGGTCTGCAGAGAGAATGGGTCTGCAGAGCGAATGGGTCTGCAGAGAGAACGGGTCTGTAGAGAGAATGGGTCTGCAGAGAGAATGGGTCTGCAGAGAGAATGGGTCTGTAGAGAGAACGGGTCTGTAGAGAGAATGGGTCTGCAGAGAGAATGGGTCTGCAGAGCGAATGGGTCTGCAGAGAGAACGGGTCTGTAGAGAGAATGGGTCTGCAGAGAGAATGGGTCTGCAGAGCGAATGGGTCTGTAGAGAGAACGGGTCTGTAGAGAGAATGGGTCTGCAGAGAGAATGGGTCTGCAGAGAGAATGGGTCTGCAGAGAGAATGGGTCTGTAGAGAGAATGGGTCTGTAGAGAGAATGGGGTCTGCAGAGAGAATGGGTCTGAGAGAGAATGGGTCTGCAGAGAGAATGGGTCTGCAGAGAGAATGGGTCTGCAGAGAGAACGGGTCTGCAGAGAGAAATGGGTCTGTAGAGAGAATGGTGTCTGGTAGAGAGAATGGGTCTGCAGAGAGAACGGGTCTGCAGAGAGAAACGGGTCTGTAGAGAGAATGGGTCTGCAGAGAGAATGGGTCTGCAGTGAGAATGGTCTGCAGAGAGAATGGGTCTGCAGTGAGAATGGGTCTGCAGAGAGAATGGGTCTGCAGAGACATGGGTCTGTAGAGAGAATGGGTCTGTAAGAGGAGAACGGGTCTGCAGAGAGAACGGGTCTGTAGAGAGAATGGGTCTGCAGAGAGAAGGGGTCTGCAGTGAGAATGGGTCTGCAGAGAGAATGGGTCTGCAGAGAGAATGGTCTGCAGAGAGAATGGGTCTGTAGAGAGAATGGGTCTGCAGAGAGAATGGGTCTGCAGAGAGAATTTCGCCGCGATCCCAACTGTCTGTTATCAGCCTGCAGCCCGGGAGGAGAAATCAGCAGAGCTGCCTGCACTGAGTGTGTGAGGAAGTCCGTGGATTGGTCAATTTGGACCAATCAGCGGGGGCTTAACGTAACGGCTCCGCGGACGTAACGTAACGGCTCCACGGATTGGTCCATTTCGTTCCGGGTACGACATGACATCAGATGTCCCCGGAAGAATCAAATGGATGATGACGTTTCACCAACGAGGCGTTTTGGGGAGGTATTTTCTGTGTTAGAGTTTTACTCGCTACAGGGTGTACTTTGAGGGTTTTGACTCTGCACACAGTTCACATGCATAAAAACCTTCATAACACACAAGGGGACGGGTAATAACCGGAAAAGCATGACATGTGACCTTTAAGCTGACACTCATAGGCCCGATTACAAAGTTGTCATGTCGTGCACTCTTTAAAAGTGACACTTACATGAGGTTGACAGCCACGCCCACAGCTGCAGTGATGAGCATGACATCCCCATCTATGTCGAACTCTTGGTGTATCGTCCTCTGAACGGCCTCGTAGAGCAGTATGGCTGTCAGGATGTAGATGAGCACTACACTGAGGACTGCCGATACAACCTCTAGGGATGGAGAATAACGGTCAGTTGTAGATACAGAGCATGTTTATACCAAAAAACTAAAGCTGTGAGAAAACACAGATAATCAAATACAATCAAATACATGTTTAGTAATGCCTCCTACAAGGGTCCAGCTGGAACCCTGTCCTGTTCTTTATTTTATTGTGTCTTTCATCTGTGACTGTCAAATTCTACTTGATTGGACAATAATGTTTTATGATCTACCGAGAATTCTTTCCACTCCTTGTGAAGCTGACCGTTGAGCGGCCCGACCAAGCAAGGAGGCAGAGATTTCAAATATAACCCGGTGTGGGCATTTATTCATCGCTGTGGTACATGACACAGCCTCAATATTTCTGTCTCATGTGAACACAGTCACCAGCAACAAGGATCTCCCACACACTACCTGTCCACTGACAGGGAAAACAGAGCCTAAATACACACACACTAATCAGGCCAAGACACAGGTGGGGGGGAGGAGATAACACAAAAACGTAAAGTTGGATTTATGGTAATAAAAAAAAAAAGTTGTTGTTGAATGATTTCCTTTAAAAACATGTGAAATATGATTTGAAAAATGTAATTAATTGTTATTATATGTGAGCCTTACCGTGAACCACTTGTTCTCGTTTAACCTAACTGGTCAACTTAAAGGTATTATTTTAGAAGGGTTTTTGTGTGATTGCTCAAAGCGTGGAAGTACTAAACAGTGAGGTGTCGCATGAATCAGAACCAGGTTCTGGAGTTATATTGGAGAATCGGGTTAGAGGGGACAAGTTAGTTACTACCAGCGTAACTAAAGGATTTGCAAGGGTAGCAGGGTCCTAGTATTTGATTTTACCTCCAACAGCTAGAGCATGCAAAGAAAACAGGAAAAAAAGATAAAAAACCATTTGTTTGCGTTAGTGCACTACAAAACCAATTTCCAAGGCTCTCACACTCATCTACAATACATACAACTGTGTTGTATATATATACAGTTATAAATAAAGGAATGGAACGGAAATATTAGAGCGGCACCAGGTGAACCCAATCACCAGCCACAGACAAAACTGGAGGGGAAACACTTTCAAACTAAACCACATGTGCAATATTACAAGGCCCGAAGCCGTCAGTCCACAGTGACGACGTTACCTTTGTCACACTCCTAAACACAGAGATACCCTTTTTGTATCAATTTAGTCCTTAATAAAAACAAAACAATATGGTACTCTACATATCAGAGATTAAGTTTACAACAATTTACAAAGCACAAAACCACTCACATTGAAAACCCTGATGGTAAACAACCTCAGAAGCTTTTCAGTACAGATGTAAACTCCCCTCTGACGTGTAGAGAGAGGATGTGAAGCAGTTTCTTCTTCAGTTGTGTTATAGATGTACAAATTCATCTGTCGATTGAATGTTTCTCATAACTCTGTCATTATGCTGCTTTCAAATCCGTGTCTCAGTGCTGTACGATACCAGTCACCTCTGTGGAAACATTGGTATAACTGCCTTTTTTCATTTATATTTGAGTGTTTTATGTCTAAAAATGGACCAAGAGTCTCTTTAAATAAAGCTGACGATGATAGAGACTTAACTATTCCTAACACACAGTGATACAGTGATATGAGAGAAGAGGAAGTGTACAGAGGAAGTGTGAATGCTTCTGAGATCATAAACTCACCGAGACGATGCAGGCCGAAGGTAAATCTACTCGTGGGCGGTTTGGTGGAGAGCCAGAGGGCCAGCAGAGAAAACAGAATGCCCACCACGTCTGTTAGCATGTGCACAGCGTCAGTCATGATGGCTAAGCTGTTGGAAAAGTAACCACCTGAAAGTCAAGACGAAGAGATTTGAAAGGATATGTCAGTCCAAAAGCCAAATATATTCAGATACAAAACAGAGAAAAGCAGGACATGAAAAATCACTAATTAGTCGATTATCGAAACAGACGAGAGTTACTTTTTCTGTATATAATATTGATTAACCCATTAGTTGACACAATTATTGTATCTCTCATATATTTGAACCACAAAATCTATTAATAATAATATAAAAACAAGACTTGGGTAGATAATTCAGCACAGAAAAGTCAGCAGAACAAGCTTTCAGAGTTGTTGCACCAGAGGCGGAAATGATGGTAGGACATATAATCAATCAGAGGAACAGTGGATGGATTTGGAAATACCCTCACCTGCTCATTCTCTGATTCAATCATCATTTTTGTTAACTGCGTCAGAAAGGTGATGGTTAACACACGATGAATCCTGAGGCACAAGTGTGTGATTGTATCTATCATCCTCACCTTTTCAGCTAAGTGTCAAAGAAAAACCTGTTTCTCTTCTAGAGATATTTCAGCACGAAACATGTTTGATGGTACGCCCGTGTTTAGGCATAGAAGTATAAAAAATGTCTCCTTCCACTATAATAAATGGAAGTTAAAGATTTGTGGTGCTCAAAGTAAAAGAAAAGTGCATTTAAGACAGTTGCAAACTCATTTAAAAATGTAAAAAAGGCATTCTGTTTCAGGCGAGGCAGCCTACTAAACCTGCTTTACAGAGGGTAGTAGAGTTCTCCACCTAATTGACTGAACAATTAATATGTCTTTCTGTTTGCTCATTGTAAGATACTGCCATCGGTTGTGTATATCTGAACAGCCATGTCCGAACAAACACATTGCTAAACTCAGGCCCGCTGTGTCCCCAGCTGATTTGAAAAGGTTTAATGGGTTTATTTCCTCTCGCTTATGTCCTGCAGCCATGGATGTAAAACAACTTATATTTCTATGTTTTAATCCCTTTCACCTGCCTTAGCAGAAACAGTTCTGAATTGGTTTGAATCCTACTTAAAGGACAGAAACAACTTTGTTTCTATAGGTAAATACACATCTGAGTTGACAAATATGACATGTGGGGTTCCTCAAGGCTCCATCTTGGGGCCTCTTCTCTTTAACATCTACATGCTACCACTGGCTCAGATAATGAAAAACAACAAAATAAGTTACCATAGCTATGCAGATGACACACAAATTTACGTGACAATTTCACCAGGAGACTACGCTCCAATTCAAACACTGAGTAAGTGCATTGAACAAATCAATGACTGGATGTGTCAGAACTTTCTCCAATTAAACAAAGATAAAACTGAGGTAATGGTTTTTGGAGCCAAGTCAGAACGTATAAAAGTTAGCACTGAGCTTCAGTATGCAATGTTCAAAACAACAGATAAAGCCAGAAATCTAGGTGTAGTCATGGACTCTGACCTGAGTTTCAACAGTCACATTAAAACAGTTACTAAATCAGCCTACTATCACCTAAAGAATATATCTAGGATTAAAAGACTAATGTCACAGCAGGATTTGGAAAAACTTGTCCATGCTTTTATCTTCAGTAGACTGGACTACTGCAATGGTGTCTTCACAGGTCTCACTAACAAATCTATTAGAAAGCTGCAGCTAATTCAGAACGCTGCTGCTCGAGTCCTCACTAACACTAAGAAAGTGGATCACATCACTCCTGTTCTGAAGTCTTTACACTGGCTTCCTGTGTGTCAAAGAATAGATTTCAAAATACTGCTGCTGGTTTATAAAGCACTGAATGGTTTAGGCCCAAAATACATTTCTGACCTCCTGCTAAATTATGAACCATCCAGATCTCTCAGGTCTTCAGGGACTGGTCAGCTTTCTGTCCCCAGAGTCAGAACTAAACATGGTAAAGCAGCGTTCAGTTATTATGCTCCAAACTCCCAGAAACCTGCAGGTCCGCTGCAACTCTGACTACTTTTAAATCCAGGCTGAAGACTTTTCTTTTTGTCGCTGCTTTTAATTGAACTATTCATATCTTAGACTGCACTGTAACTTTTATCCATGTACTTTTTTATTTTAATGTTTAATTGACTGCCATGTATTTTTTTCTTTTAATGTTTATTTTATTAGCTTTTCTTTTTAATGACTGATTTTAAATGCCATTTTCTTAATCTCTTTCATTTTTTGTAAAGCACTTTGAATTGCCTTGTGTTGAAAAGTGCTATATAAATAAACTTGCCTTGCCTTGCCTTAGCAAGACTTCACTAAAAGTGGTCCAAAAACTGCTGCAAGCATTTGACCAAGTGCTCGAAATGGTCTCATGTGACTCCCATTAAGATTTCCACCAAATATTTTTTGTTTAGAGCCTTGCCTGTTTAAAGAGCACAGCGGACCTACATCAGGTCTGATCGGGGTTTGTTGGTTATCCCCGGCCTCAAGACAAAAGGAGAAGGTGCCTTAGAGGTTTTAACTCCTAAACTTTGCAACTTTTGTAGTGTCTCAATGACAGTTTTGTTCCTTTTTACATGTCTTTAGCTTTGTTGGTATCTCTTTAGTATCGTTTGTCTTTCACTTGTTGTTTTGTGTTGTTTTTTTACACAAAATCACTTTATAAGGTATGCTGTATGAACAGATGTGTCGTCATTATTACATATTGTTATTATTATTACTATCATCTTCAGAGCCAGTTTGTATTCTACATCTCTTTTGTCATAACGCTTACTGGAATATCTAGCAGTATTTAAAATTTTTTTTTTAAAAACAGCTCTGAAAAAAATTGGAGACAACTCCACATTTTTCTTAAATCTCAATCTCTTCATGTATGACAGCCATTCTATTCCAGTGTCTGTTGAATTCTAACACAGAGAGAGGCTGTCAGTAGTTTGAAGAATATAATAACAAATGTTAATTTGACTCAAACACATACCTATAAATAGTAAGACCACAGAAACTGACATTGCTGCAGTGGTCTCTTCATTGACCCAGAGCTGTATGTAGTGTGAGGTTCACTCTGCACATCTTACCGACAATTTCCCCTGTCATGAAGAGGAAATAGAGCAAAGCTGCCATGACCAGCCTCTTCATCACTTTCTTGTGTTTGATGCTGTCCCTCTTCTTGGTGCAGTTCTCGCAGGGGTCCATGTTGAGCCCCGGGCTGCCCAGGCTGGAGGAAGAGTCCAGCAAGGAGTCATCATCATCCGCCGACACCACCAGCGTGTTCACCGCCACCCCGTTGGAGTTAGCCCCGGAGGAGTAGTCCGACATCTCCCCGGAGACCACCACCTTGAGCTTGTTGAACTTGGGCGTCTCGTCGTCCCCCAGCTCGTTGGAGAAGTCGAAAGGCTCGGTGTCGCTCAGGTCCCAGTCGTTCCTCTCCCTCCTGAAGGCGGACCGCATCTTGCTGAATAGCCTGCCTCCAGACATCTTTGCTAACACTGAGGTATCCAGGCCTCTCTATGGAATCAGTCCCATTGTTGTAGGTTCAAGTCTTGCATTTCCACTCCGGTTGAATACCTAGAGGAGACAACATAAATTAAACTTGACGACAACTCAACGACAACGCAATTCACTACAGACCCTTTCAGATGATCATTGTAGAAGTTGTGCTGGTTAACTTTGAGTCATCTCATATAAAAATATATATAGCATAAGCTAAAGAGTAACAAGCTAGCTAGTAAACGTTAGCTGTCTTGTCGTGATAGTTAGCCACACAGAGACATGTAATGTAGACGAAATACACCTTAGCTTACCTAATATATATCCTTTATGGTTGTCAAGTATCGATTCGTCTTTAAATTGAAAACTGTCATCGTAAGACTGGTGTCTGTCAACATCAGTCGTTGCTCTCACCTCCTCCTCTGCACTAGCAAGTTTGGTTTCGCCCACAGTCACGTGATGACGCACGAGTCACATGACGTGTTTTCCAGACGCAGCAACACATCCAAACATCTCTGCTGTTGTTTCTCTTTCTTGTGTGCAAAAAAAACGGAACCCATTACACAAAGTTACTGTTGAATAGACAAGCAATCAGGTAAGACTATGTTGTGACTGTTAGAGGTTGTCTAGTTGCTGATGTGTCACGTTATGAAGCTGCTCAGCATGCTAGCTCATTTACTTCCTCTATGGTCAGATGTTCTGATAAGCTAACTGATCATTTGCAGCCGACAGAATGTGACTGATTTATTGATGCCTCTTTTTCAAGTTCTGAAGCAGCCTGAGTCAACGGAGTCGTTGCATATGGAGGTAGAGGAGATGGAAGATGAAGGACCTCCACACATTGAAGGTGTGTGTGTGTGTGGTGTGTGTGTGTGTGTGTGTGTGTGTGTGTGTGTGTGTGTGTGTGTGTGTGTGTGTGTGTGTGTGTGTGTGTGTGTGTGTGTGTGTGTGTGTGTGTGTGTGTGTGTGTGTGTGTGTGTGTGTGTGTGTGTGTGTGTGTGTGTGTGTGTGTGTGTGTGTGTGTGTGTGTGTGTGTGTGTGTGTGTGTGTGTGTGTGTGTGTGTGTGTGATCTGGCCTCTGCCGTCTTGACTTGTCTGGCATGAATTTCTGTATAGATTGTTACAGATAGCTGTCAGTTTGTGCCTTTCATGCATCCTTATTACATATCTATACCACAGTGTTGTTCCCCAGCTCAATATATTTTGACATAGAGGATTTACATTCTCTGCTAAATGTTCTCCCGAGGTAAATGTTCAAAGTACATTTTCCCTGGTCAATTTTAAAACCAGCTGCAGATCATTGCCAACTGATGTCATACTGATTAAAACCAGGCCCTTAAGTTTGTGTGTATGACTGTTTTCTTATACTTCAGACAATGATATCTCTTTCAAGTTGGACCTTGTGAAACAAGTTAAAATGAGTGTTGTACTGTCATTGCACAGTTACTTAACCCCAACACAACCGTCTCTGTTATTATATATTGAGGTGTAAGAGGACATGAATAGTCATGAACATGGGAATCTGTGTCATTTTAACCATACAACATGTCAACATTGTCCAATTTTCAGCAAATTAGTGTGTTCATGAATAAATAGCATGCACATTTTATTGCACAGTTGTTATACAATAAAAAAAAAAACGATATGCTTACTGGTGCGCTAATCCCACCACCGCCTGTCTCCCATTATATACAACTACACCAGGTGCCCAAATCACCCAGTGTCCAAAGATGCCTTCAAATGAAAGCAACTTTATCGAACTTAAAAAATAACACTTAAATAATAATACATTTACTATAAACAAAAAAATATATATATAACAGACATAATATATAGCTCCAACACTGTGACACAATACTAAATACATGATTTCCTCAACATGTGACAGAGCTCCAGTTGGACTGTTTGGAGAGCCCGGCGCCTGTAGAGAACGTGTTTGTGGATAAGAAAGCTGTGGACAAACTCACAGAGGGATTACTCTCTCACTACCTACCAGATCTACAGAACTCTAAACGAGCCCTGCAAGAGCTCACGTGAGTATTTTTCACCAGTATTATCTCACCACAATGGTTTTAATAAGCACAGCCTTATTCAAGCTACTTGTGGATACAACTTTAAAAGTGGCAAGATTAGAGACATATTAATACATCCCATGGTGGAGAAAGTTTATAATGTTTTTCTTCCAACTAAAGATTACAATCAGTGACTTCAGGGATATGTTATCCCAAACAGGTTTTGTTGTTTAGTTCATTCACTTGGTTAGTAAGTGCTTAAATAAATAAAACATTTATGTTCAATGTCTCAAACCATGAAATCAAGAAATTCAGTAAATAAGAAATAATAAAAAACGTGCTTGTTTATTGCTTTTGATTTGTCCTTCAATATTAAGGATGGTCCCATCTATCCCAGAGTTAAAGAGATCATAAAGGACGAAACTCAGCAATTACTGAGTACATAAAACAGGTGACTGTATGTGATTCCTATAATGACAGAAACCAGTATACAGTAAACAACTCTGTGGCACAGGTCAACATGCTTCAGGCAGAACTGGATGGGTTGTCCTGTTGCTTTAATGCTGGTAGTGCTGAGTTTACCATTCATTTCACTATGAACATGCTGGTTCACTTGTAAAGAACAAAGCCATCCAAAACAACCTGAACTGTCTTTCACAAACATGAACAATCTGTGCAACACTTCTAAACATCCAGGAATGTATCCGAATAGTTAGCGTATGTAAATATTCTCTACATATTGACTCTGAATATTTAGAAGATGTCCTTTCAGTTTAAGAAATGTTTTGTTGAAAAAAGGCCTATTGACTTTACTTCTTTCTCTCCATTTGTATCCTGACCAGACAAAATCAGGTGATATTGTTAGACACACTGGACCAAGAAGTCACCAAATTCAGAGATTGTAATGCCTTACTGGACCTCAATTCACTGGTATGTTGGGACTGAATTATAATCTCATATTTCACACTTATCATTGTCTGTTTTCTTTCCTTACCAATGGGAATGCTTTCTAATCCAGTTTGTTGTATTTAGTTTACAGAGGCAAAGGTTTACCACAATAAACTGGTGAACATAAGGAAAGAGATGATCATGCTCCACGAAAAAACAACTAAACTAAAGGTACCTTTTCTTTGAATGTATTACTGGAAAATGGGTGATGCGATGTTAAAAAATGGCATAAAAAAAATGTTGTGTATTAATGCAATTAAACGGTTCACACACTGTTTGAATGTTAACTTGTGTCTTCTCTCAGAAAAGAGCCTTGAAGCTGCAGCAGCAGAAGCAGAACGAGGCGCTGGAGAAGGAGCAGCAGCGTGAGAAGGAGCTCGAGAGAGAAAGGCGGCTTGTTGCCAAACCTGCGAAAAGATCTTAGGATCCCCGAGTATGTCTGCTGAATGAATGTACAGGTGCTTTTGCATGCCTTAGTCTATTTATTACATATCAACTATACTACACATGACTACTGCTGAACATTTTCCAAAGCAAAAGTATTTTAGACATTTAAAAAGATGATAATTTCTGAGCTTTTGGCCTATATTTGACTGGATACAGGGAGAGAGAGGAGAGATTAGACACAGTTTAGTTTTCAACCAGGAACATCCTGATCACATATCTATTTTACATCTGTAGGACTGACCCCTCGTCATTTTTACATTTCAGAATCTGTTTGACTGCCATCCACTCATTTTGGTACTTTAATAATATCTACTCAAAACATGCTCAATACATGTGATCTATTATACCTAAATTATTGTTGCATGTTAATGCATTTGACAGAGGTTAACAGCATTTTTTTTGATAGCTTTATTGCCTCAAACATTGAATTCTCAGCAGGTCAAACTCCATTGGTTTTGTTAAATAACGCCCAGGTGTACTACCTTTTAGCTACAAAAATACTTTTGGTGGACAGCTTCTCAAACTAAATCAAATAAATTGGTTTGAAATGGGGCTGATATATTGCTGTAAATAGAAACATTATTTTTTATGAAACACCCTTCTTTATACCTGCACTGAATTAGAAAAATTAGATTTTGAATGTGAAAGTCTAAAAAAGTCTTTATAAATGAATTGAGAAAAATCAATTCCAAAACCTTTAACACAAATAAGAATAGAGTGATATGCTTTGGGATATGGTTCACATAAACAGTACATGGTAAATAGGCTGCAATAAGCATGGTATGGTCTTTTATGTTGAACATTGCCAATATCACCACAAACCAAAGACCTGGACTGAATCATCCAATGCTGGTACTTCTCACTATCAACCTCTGGTGACACACAAACTGGAGCACTTCCCTGAGAGTGGAACAAATCGCTGAAAGACACTTTCGCCGCCGTCAGACAATTGCCAGGAGGAGAATCAATGTGGTTGCTGTATTTTGTTAAAGATTAAGTGTTAATATAAGTTGTTACATGCCCTCTTAGTGTTGAATGTTATAAAACAAGTATGTTGTTTGGATAGATCTGCATTCTGCACTAAACATAACTGACTGTATTTCTGGGATCCAGATGATGAATTTGTGAACATATGTGCAAAACTTTGCCCTCGCCACACACAGCAGCTGTTAATTAATATGTTAATGTGTTATTTGTTCATTATATTAGATTTTTTAGACCTCTCAAAAAGGCTTCTATGCACTACTCGCGCCTGGAACTCCACTGTTTATACAATTAATAATAAAATAACACAAACTGGTCTGAAAGTGCATTTCATTTTTTTTAATTACCTGGCTTTAGTATGCTTAAGCTGTGCACTTCAGTATGTGTGAGAGGGTGAGTACCGCTGTAGTGGTATTTTTCATTGATGCACACATTTTATAATGCCAAATAGTGTGTGTTTTAGAGACTCACTTCTTTATGTCTACTGCATGGTGTGAAATAGGGCTGCAACTTACAATTCAATTATTGAATTTGCAGATTTGCATGATTGTTTGGTTTGGTCTTCGAAACAGTAAGAATGCCATTCCGAGTTTGTGAAAGTGCAAGGTGATCTTTCAATTAGTTATTGTGTACACCCAAACATATTCAGTTTAATAAGATACAAAAAAACAACAACAGAGAGAGCAAGACATCTCCATTGGAGCTGAGAGGCAGAAAACAGCAATATCTGCAATTTATGCATGAAAATTTACTTTTACAAATTCATCAACAATCAAAAATAGTTAGCAATTTTTTCCGGTCAATCAACTAATCATTACAGCTCTGAAGAAAATGTCCCTTTTTAGGGCCATGTGTACAATACAAATTAGTATGAAATAAAACAGGAAAAAGGCCATTTTGCATTAAAAATCACTTTAATGTATACAAATCTAGATTACTTGACATTTATCCAAATGGTTGGAGTTTTTTTGTTGATCAACTCATTGATTAGTCGACTAATTGTTGCTGCTCTACTGTAAACACTTATTTTCAGGACCACATGTACGTAGATTTGCTATTGACTTGTGTTTA